ACTTTCATTGACTTTCAGATTTATTAGATGGATTGCAAGCTCAACAAATATGGTCCAAGAACAGCTGGGATCAATAGAAATATTCAAAGTACTCACAAAAGATTCTGCATTGTGTTTGCAAGTTATCTGTTGTAAGAATCTCATACATCTCATCCCCTCAATGACCCATATTCTTTCCTTGAGGATTTCACTGTGCTGCAACTGCCTTGCCTTTGATGTTCCCTGGTTCACGTGAACACAATAGCACAATGAACTGACTTTTTCTTGTCATAAGCATTCATGAGTCACCCCTTAAAAAAGAAGAAGACAATAGCCATTGACTTGTTCCATTGTCCTCTTCATAGCTGCCTCCCTACATTGTAGGAAGATTGGTGTCACTTTGAACCAAGAACTGGAGCTAAGAATAGTAATAATAAGGACTTTTACTGAGCTGACCAGCAGCCTTGAAAGAGAAATAAATGCTACCACAAGCCTTTTCCAACAAGATTTGGTGGAGCACTTAAGGAAAGAGTGGTTAAAAAAAGAAAATATGAGTAGATGTCAGTTATTAACAATCATTATCTGCATTTACTAAGAGCGCTACAATGACTACACTATTCAATCTAAAATTTAGGATTTGATATATAGCCAGAGAAGACACACATAGCCAAGTAATGGTGAGGAAAACCTCAGACCTTAATGTAAATATGACAGTGTAAATACAGCTATGAGGATGTTGATATATTTTCTATTCATTCAACAGTATTTAATAGAGTGGGAAGTTATAGAGACACTTGGTGTTTTGCTGCAATTATGTAGGTTGCAGTTGCATGATAATAGAAATTTATTAGAAACCATTAGCTACTCCACATACTTTAGTCATAAATATTAAGTACATCTGAAGAGCTAAACTTTCATCCTCAATCCATGTTATCTCTTAGCCCTCTTTCCCTTCAAGATCTTTCCTAAGAAAATTCCTTTCTAGCTGTATGCAACTACTTTTTATCACAGTGGCACATGATAAGTCAAAGACATTGAACTGTGATAGGAGGGTTTTTTCCTTTGAGAAGATTTGAACATGTTCCCAACACCCTCAGCTCCTCTTCATCAGACTTTTGCCCCAGACCCTTTCTCAGCTCGACACACTCCAGTACATCAATGACTTTTTCGCAGGGAATCAGCACTGGATGATCTGCTCCATAACCTTCCCTGGCACCAAGGTCAGGTTGACAGGTCTGGAATTCCCCAGATCATCCTTCCAGCCCTTATCATAGATGGATGTCACATTTGCTCACTTCCAGTCAAGTGGGACCTCCTCAGTCAGCCAGGACTGCTGGGGAATGATGGAAAGTGGCTCAGTGAGCACTTCCACCTGCTCCCTTAATACCCTAGGGTGGATCCCACCCAGGTCCATAGACTTGTGGGTATCCAAGTGGTGCAGCAGGTCCCCTTGGACCATTTCCCCTTGGATCATGGTGGCTTAACTCTGCCCCCTGTCCCTGACTTCCAGCTCAGGAGGGTGGGTGACCTCACGACAACTGGTCTTATCCTTGAAGACTGAGGCAAAAAATACATTAAGTACCTCAGCCTTTGTCTCTATATTTCCCCCCCACATCCATTAAAGGAATGAGATTCTCCTTAGCCCTCCTTTTGTTGTTAATGAATTTATAGAAACATTTTTTTGTGTTTTGCAGCATTAACGAGAGTAAGTTCTAGTTTGGCTTTGGTCCTTCTAATGTCCTGCCTGTATAACCTCATGGCATCCTTGTAGTCCCCCTGATTTTCCTGCTCCTTCTTCCAAAGGTCTTCAATGTTGCAATAAAGGTGCCAACTGTCTGTTGACTCAGGTGGAGCAGACCTGAGAGCAGACACTGAAGTTCATTTTGACCTGTCTTGGCCACAGTCCCAGGCCAGCCTTATCACACACAGTCCAGTGCTAAGGATGAAAATGCCCTTTCCATGTGTCATGGATGTGTTACTGCAGGAATACAACTGTGCTCCTTCCCAAGCTGGCAAAGAAAGGGCTCGGCAATTTTGGAAGGATGAGGAGAAAGTAATAGAACATATTGAGTATTGTCAGGCTGAGAAAAAGTGTAAAGAAGGGAAGGGTAAAGGTACTATTTGTGCTGTCTTAGGAGCATGTTTATCTTATGCCTAACAAGAAGTAAAAAATCTGCCTGCTCCTGCAAAGCTTGACAATGGGGAATACAGCGCTTCGAAATTAGAAAATGAGATGCTAAAATTGTCTTTGACTTTTGAGAGGGATTTGGGAGAGAAATTAGAATCTCGAGTGAATAAACTGACTATTGAGAACGAGTTGCTCAGGGCGGAGGTCAGAGAGCTTAAATTGGTGCTTCCGAGAAGTGATAAGAAACCGCAGTTAAAGAAACAGAAAGCGTCGGTAGCCGGGAAACCTCGTTAAGTCATATCTTATTTCGACACCGAGATTTACAGCAGTGACAGAGAGGTTGATGGATGTGTGGACTTTTCAGACACTGAGTGTCAGAGAGCAGGCAGGTTCCAGCCAGGCATTCTCGCAGTGACAGCCTTCTGCCACCTTGCAATTTTCAAAGAAGCTTGTGTTTTTGAGAAGTACTGCACTCCAGGAAGGCATTTGTAACCCTGACAATGCTCATTTACTGCTAGTAGTTGTTATCTTTTTTCCTGCAGAAGTACAAGCTGAAAAACTGCCACCTCTGCCTTACATGAAGCAGAGTTTTGGTATTGTAAAAAGAAAAAAAAAAAAAAGCTATACTGCCTGCACTTGAAATTATTTATGGGCAAAGAAAAAAAACCCAAACAAAACAAACAAACAAAAAAACCCTAGGCATGGGACTTTTGTTTTCCAGAATTGATTTTGACTGTCAGTGAAGTGCTAGGTTAACCTGTACCAATAATTATACTACCATGGTAATACTATAATTAGGATTTGTATGAATTTTACGGAAGTGCCTGACTTAGGCAGTAAGTCACAGACATAAGCTGTTATGCAGTGCTGATCTCACAGCAGATCTGGACCACAAATTTGACCTTCCTAGATTTTTTCATGACTCAGGTATGTGATAGTCCCCTGTTCTTGAAGGAGAACCCCATACACAAACAATATATTGCTTGGAAAAACTCTGTATTAGAGATGATGTCCTTCAAGACAGCAGACTTTTGAGTGCCAAATGCAGAGCCACTTTCAGGAATCAAGACAAGAAATATCAACCTAGAAACATTGTCTTCCTGGTTTTGTAATTACATAATTTATATTGGAAATCAGCCATAATAGAAAATAAATAGCTCATTTTCTTATCAAGAACTTGTCATAAATATTCAGATATTATATGTGATGATCCTTATGCAATTGGAAGAATAATTTTTGTCTTTCAGCCATGCATGATTATCCAGGTATTTTTAGCTACATAGAACCTCCTCCATTTGAAACGTTTCATTATTCCATGAAATTTTTATGCAAAATTTTATCTGCTTCTCAAAAAATTGGAAGTGATAGGAAACAGGATTTAAGAGAAGGCTCAGGAGAGTATAACAGTAGCACTTGAGTTCAAATATTTTGCTTGCTAGCACTGACTGCAGTGAAAACAGAAAACATTAGAGGGCAGCTCCAGCAGTGCCTTGGCTGAAGGGTAAAGACACACATTGCATCACACTGAGATTTACTGAGCACCTCTCACAGGTACAAATGGGCTCCATTACCATTTGTAATGTACTCACAACTACCCTATGGAAAAGGACTCTCAATCTTAAGTTACATCTGAAAAAGTGGGAAACAAACTCATGTTTGCTGTGGAGCAAGAACCAGCCCTCTGTGCTCTCTACAACCCAGGCTGTATTTTTCACTAGCAAAGTCAAGATAACCATCTTGAGAGAAGTAAGCTGATGGTTCAGGTACCGTGATAAGATTTGAGAACCTTATACTGCAGAGGTTGTTAACTTGAGGGTTGTTAATGGGCTGCAAACTTTCCCTGGTCTTCTGACTTCTTTCAGTGCTGAGGTTTTTTGTCACACCCACCTCTTTTCATGAGATGAGCCACCAGCATAGAGAGCCTGTCATGCTTGGATTTTAATCTTGAATTGTCAATGAAATTACTCAAGGCAAGGAAATTGCTCGATCCCTCAAATTACTCTGCCAATGTGATCAGTTGTTGGTGTTTACCAAGGCTTACTGGATCTGGTGTGGAATTAGTTTCTTCACTTTATGTTTCAAGAGAAACCCAACAAGACTGAAAACAGCAACTAGGGGCAGCCCCCATCCTGGTCTGCAGCTTCCTCATGAGGGGAAGCAGAGGGACAGACACTGATCTCTCCAGTGGAGCAGTGACAGGACCCAAGGGAATGGCCTGAAGTTGTGTCAGGGGAGGTTTAGGTTTTATCAGGATAAGATTCGTCCCCCAGAGGGTGGTGGGGCACTGACCAGGCTCCCCAGGGCAGTGGGCATGGCCCCAAGGCTTCCAGACCTCAAGGACTGTTTGGACAACCATCTCAGGGACAGGGTGGGATTGTTGGAGTGTCCTGGGCAGGGCCAGGAGTTGGACTTGATGATCCTTCTGGGTCCCTTCCAACTCAGGCTATTTTATGATTCTGCCAGGGGCCAACAGCAATAATAAATGATGCTTGAGAAACATGAGATAGAACAGGAGTTGATGTTCTCCTGGATGACAAAACAGTCCAGCGCTTGGAAAGATGAGAGAATTCAGTTATACTTGATCCTTCATCTTGTTATCACCAACACATAAAAAAAAAATGGGGAGAAAATGGCATTCTAGATCAGACTTAAAGATTAACCAACTTCTTGCGCTCTCATATATCCAGGCTCAGGTGTATATTAATAGAACCTGTTTATAGAACTTAAACTGCAAATTAAACATTTCAGTTTTACCATTAAGGCAGCAAACAACAAACAAAAAGCTTAGAGACCACAAAACTGACTCCCCACAGAACTGCTGAAACAGCATTTTTGTTATATGGAGATGAAGAGGACTGATGTGAAGTGGGATTAACAGGCATGAATCAGTAAGCATATTCCTAATGTTTATTCTAGAGCTTCTGGTAATCTAGCAACACAGTTTCTTTCAGAATTCAGTTGGCATTTAAAGATCTATCTGTCAAAGGAGACAGTTTTATTTAGATTCAGGTTCATTCCTATTCTCAGAACCAGGTTCCCGAAGCTGTATTGGGCCAGCAATAACAATCACACTTTCTAGGCCAGAGCTTGCCTCTCTCTTGGGCCTGTTAATACAGCCTTGGTAGCACCTGGAAGAGTAGTCATAGGCCCTGCACACCACCAGTTCACACCGCAGGTAAACCACTGGGTCGCCCCAAACAAACTGGAAGGCCGCGAATGTAAAGCGCAGGATGTGTCTGTGGGGTGAATAATATGCAGCATAGGTAGAATCTCGAGCACACCTGAAAAGAAGCAGAAAAAAAATCTCATGAATACACACTGCAGTCAGTCATTTACGTGCAATAGAACACCCGACGTGAGAAGTGATTTCTAAACATAATGAAACTGGGTTTAGAAACCTGCAAGCAGGAAAAACAAAATGCCCTTCTTTGGCAGAAATAAACCATGTTACTTCCCCCTCAGGCTGTTGTGTGTCCAGATACATGGTGTTTGTAAGTATTTTGAAGGTAAATTAACCGTATCTGAGGTATGTCACTGTTATCTCCTGGATAATAACAATCCATGGTGAACCAGCCGTAGCCACTCAGTTTACTTGTCATTTTAAGCTGTGGGGTATGTGTGGTATATTTTGGGTCAATCCATCCCCTTTTCCCCAGTAAACCCCAAATGCCCTGTTTATTAATTAGAAACTGACCTTAATGTATGCTATATTCACACTATTCCACTAAATGAATAAAATTTAAAAATAAAAGGGAAAGGGAAAGGGAAAGGGAAAGGGAAAGGGAAAGGGAAAGGGAAAGGGAAAGGGAAAGGGAAAGGGAAAGGGAAAGGGAAAGGGAAAGGGAAAGGAAAGGGAAAGAAAGCGGAAAGGCAAGGGAAAGGGAAAGGGAAAGGGAAAGGGAAAGGGAAAGGGAAAGGGAAAGGGAAAGGGAAAGGGAAAGGAAGGAAAAATGGGACAGATATAGGAGTTCAAAGGCAGTTCTATCTGCAATTGTTATGCATAAGAGCTCACCCATTCCTGATTATATCATAGGTTACTGCCGTAGAGTTATGAGGAGCTGGAGATGCCACGCACGTGTCCAGAAATAGCACCAGGTTTGGATCAGAGCTGTGCAGGTAGGCTTGAAGGAACAAGTTCTGGTTGATATGGACATAGTATGGCGAGTCGTACACCGGCCGTGAGAAGTATGAAGAGTCATAAAACGTGAGGTTCACATCGTATCTGCTGTACTGAGTTTCATTGACTTCAAAATTGTTGTCCGCCACGTACATCGTTTGTGCCCACGTGTCCTCGAGCATCTTGCAGTTGACATGCAGGTGAAGATTTCTGTTTCTTGTGATTACAGAACCGGAAGAGGACCCTTTAATAACGTTGGAATAGGTGATTGTGTTGTTGTTTCCCTGTTTGGCGCATAAAAGGCAAAATTAATTCATGTAGTGAGGTACCCTATTGTACCTTCAAACTTTGCTGTATCCTTACAGCAATGCACACAGTAAAGAGATCATTTCCCAGAAAGTCTACCATGGAAAAGTTTGAATCCAGTAATTTCTGTCCTCAAGATAAGAGTCTGTAATCTCCATGTGATATACAGTGCCTACAAGGTTGGCCTAGAAAACTATTCACATTAAATGCAGACATAACTGAATTAAATATAACCTGTAAAATACTTTAAACATTATAGATGTAAAGGTTCAGGTCCAGCACAGTATTTAAGCTAAAATCTGACTTCAAACATGATTGGTCATATTTAATGAAAGCTTTGAGACGTTTTTAACCATCACATTTAGCCTGGAACCTTGAAAATGCCAAATATTTTCTTTCTTCCACAACTTATTCCTCAAAAGATGAATAACAGGCTATTAGGGAATGCCCTGGCAGCAGATGCAGGAAATACAAAGTCCTAACAAACCTTATGCCTGAGGAGAGGGAGAGGACACTTCCAGTCCCTGCAGACCTCAGTATAGTTTTCAGTTTGTGCTGGTTTTCAAGGCTAATTCTTCTGTTTGAATTATTATATCCTCCCAATATTTGCCCATTTTGTTGGAACATTCATTCCTACCTCTCTGACTGTGCCGCAGCGAGTGTAGGGAATGTCGAATACAACAGCCTCTGATGTGATGTTGGGTGTGCAAAGGGGGTCATTCAGGGTGAGATTCCAAACAGAATAGCCATGGGACTGAAGGAAGTATCTGCTCACAACTACATGCATGTAGTCTGGCAAACACAGCAGTGCTGGTGGATGGTAAAGAAAACATGTTACAAGCTCACTGAAGTGTCCCAAAAAAGGCTGGAAGTTGTGAATTAAATTAACAATATCTTTTGAAGAAGCAGCTGATATGACTGAAGGAGTTCAGAATCCAAACTATATACTTGAATCTGTATGAAAATGTTACAGATCTAATTTAAAATAACATGAAATGGGTGAAATTGGTACAACAATGTTAACAATCAGTGAATTAGCAAATAACTGAGAGGCAATTTTTACTTCTGCTTTAAAGATGAACTTACTAGTGCTTGAATCTGCTATAGTGGAGTAATAGTAGGCCTGAAACCCTCTGTATGTGTATCGAGAGTTGCTGTGGAATCGGACAGTCATCAGGTTTGAGGAGGACGTGTATGTGCGATAATAACCAGAACAGAACTTCCCAAGGAGAGGAGAGGTGTGAAGGGGCCCGTCATAAACTTCTATGTAGTCAGAGAGGCATCTGCCACCTTCCATTCTGGGGAGCAAACATGAATACTTTGTTAAATGCTTAATTTTATTTTTTTTTTTCACTCAGATTATCTGTTTATAGCAGAAGAGTGCATTTTACTGATGTGACTATCAAATATTTGAGACAGAAATTTAGGTCTCATTAGGTGCCAGCCACATTTTTGACTAAACAAACAAAAAAGAACACATTTCTTATCTCAGATGTACTTAAAAGCTTTGAAAAAGATCCTTGAAATCAAGTAGGCCTTTGCTTAGTAAGTCCTAGTTGTCAGTCCCATACCTTCATCTTCCCAAGTAATAAATTCTTACTTACTGAATATCTTCAAATCTAAGTGTGACAAGGAAGTTGCTCTTTACTTCTATTTCCCACACACAGTTGGCATTGTTTGGATAATTTTGGGGGTAAAATGGACTCTGAAATCTACCAGATGAAGAGGAAAGCAAGCCACCACAAGAGTAATCTTCTGCAGAGAAAAATATGAGAAGGAAAAGATATGTATACACCATTTAAAGTTGCTTTTGGAATATGGCTAAATGGAGTTTATGTCTAAAATTCAGAGGCAATGACTTCTACCAGCTTCTGTGGTCTTTTTATTATGTTCATATACATCTGAATACAGGTTAGGAGATGCTGAACACATTGAATAGCTTTAATAACACTGATTTTCAGTGTCTGCACTAGCAGGTTTTGGATATTTGACACAGAACTGCACAATTATTGAGGTTGGACTTCTGGAGGTCAGGAGGTCAGCTATTCCTTGAAAGAGAAAAAGTCCCAGCTAAGCCTGGTTCATCCCCATTACAATTGCTAATGACAAAAAGGAAGGGGAAGAAAAAGATCAAATTTTGTTTCAAAATAAACATGAAGAATTTATGCCACAGTCAAAAAATTGTATGATTTGTATACAGATCAGTTGCAGCTTAATCAAATGTCAGGGGAATCAAGATCTAAAAAAAGTCTAGTAGTAAAATGAAGTCAAGGATTTCTAGGATACTTTCAAGTGCAAGCTCAAACTATTCCTAGAAAAAAGAAGCCTGTAAATGGACAACATCTTTTAAATTATATTCCAAATTAGAAAACAAAATACATGTTTATTTCTTTTAACCTAAACAATGCACAAGACACCTACTCTGGTCTAAGGGACTTTCAATTTTTATTTTCAGTTTCTAGTAAACTTTGAAGACCCTTCTCCTACTGGTCCAACGTTCATGATGTGAACGTGACCCTTTTCCTCTGGGGACCCCACATCAGATGTTCCTTGTATGTTCTGCCTGAAGATCAGGAGACACTGTTTCACTGTGGGACTGACTGAGCACATGCACATGTTGCCCTCAGAGGTGGTCAACTCTCCATGCTTGGATACAGCCAAAAGCCATCTGGACATGGACTTAGGCAGCCAGCTCCAGGTGACATGGCTTTAGTAGGTGGGTTAGACTAGATGACCTCCAGAAATTCCCTCAAACACCAATCAGCCTGAGAACCATAAATGGAGGGGTCTATTTACTCTTGCCACAAGTCCTCTGAACCTACCTGAGGTTGGTGTCACGGTGGTTGTCCAGTTGGAAGTACCTGGTGCTGTAGGGAGAGAGCAGCAAGTGAGAGCACAGCATTTCACCCAAGACCGGGAGACCAGGGCAGGTCATCCCTCCCCAGAGCAAATCCAGGGATACAGGAACACAAACCCCACAGTCAACACTGTCACCTGGTGGGACCCAGCAAGAGCAACCTCAGCCAGCCTGGGACTCTGTGACCCTCAGGAGGGACAGGAGGTGGCCAGACCCCTCCAACCCTGCTGCCCCACCTCAGTGACACAGGGGGGAGTGGAGCTGGAGCTGCTGGTGCTGCAGACAGAGAGCAGCAGCCACACTTGCTCCTCCACACAGCTGCCACAAGGAGTTCACTGCACTGCATCTGAGTGCATCAGCCCTCTTGGGTTTGGGAAAACAAGTGGTTAAGCATGAGCAGGAGCATTGGTCTCTACAGCAATGAGAGTGCCAGGACCAAGTAACTCCTCTGCCTTCAGTATAGGCCCAAAAAACAGAGGATGGCTCAGTGGCAGCACTGGGGGAGGTGGAGAAAGTCCCATCCCTGCCCACCAGGCAAAGAAACAGTGTCTGGCAGCAGCCTCATGGTCGTGCTGTCCAAAAAGACGCCCCTGAGCAACGATGCCCATCAGTTGGCCCATGGGGTCTGGATGCCCACAGGTGTCAGGAGCCATCAGAAGCTCTTTAAGAGAGAGTTTCATCTTCTACCCTGTCAAAGGCTGAAGGAGAGCTCAGGTCTTACCTGCAGTGCTGTTGAAGGCAAGAAATGAGGAGTAGTAGGCCAGGAAACCTCTCCTGGTGATGCTGAAGTCACTGCGAAACAGGACGGAGAGCTGGTGCCCGGAGGATGTGAAGACTCGAGAGGTGTTGGTGCAAACAGTGCCCAGGAGCGGCCCCCCGAGGGGCCCGCCGTCGAACACCTCGATGGCATCGTAGGAGCAGTTGCTGCCTTCCAGCCTGGCGGGGACAGGGGGCTGTGTGGGCACCGCAGGCTGTGCCGCCTCCCGGCACGAGCCCTGATCCCCGGCTGGAGCTGCAGGGCCCAGCCACCCCAGCCCATCCCCATCTCGCCCCAGGGCTCGGGCACAGCAGCCAAGGCCCCGCAGTGGGCACGAAGCCGCCCCTGAGCCCACAGCCAGCCCCCCCTGCCCAGGACTCACTCCACATCCGAAAAGCGGAGCTCCACTCTGCGGGCCGGGTCCCACAGCCGAATGTGCCACACGCAGTGGGCGTTGTTGGGGTAGGAGTAGGGGTAGCCCGGGCTCTCGATGGAGCCCCACAGACCCTGCAGTAAGCCACCACAGGAGCCTGTCCCTGCGGAGAGGAGCAGAGACCTCTTGGCATCCCATCGCCTGGAGCCCTCAGAGAAAGGCCCCACCAAGGAGGCTCTGCCACAGCCCCACACAGACCCTCCCTCCTGGGCATGGGCCACCACCCCAAAGCATCATCCTGGTGTCCCCCCAACCACAGCATGGCTTGTGCTCAGCCTGTGCAGAAACCCCAATCTCTGGGGTTGGCCATCCAACAGGACAGCTGGGGCAGGAGATAAGCAGACCCCTTAACCCCTCTGGACCTAAATGTGGTCAATGACACTGGGGGAGATGGAGCTGGAACTATGGGGTGCTGTGGGGAGAATTCAGCAGGTGAGTGAGCAGCATTTTGTCCACGAGTAAAACCCAGCTGGCAGTCAGCCCTGTCCTAAAACCAGGTTGCTTCCAGTGCTGCCCAGAGAGGGGACAAGAGCTCATGGCATAAAGTAAAGCACAGAAGGTTCCTTTTGAACATCAGGAGACACTTTTTCAGTGGGAGGGTGACTGAGCACAGGCACAGGTTGCCCACAGAGGTAATGGACTCTCCGTGTTTGATACAGCCAAAAGACTCCTGGACACACTCCTAGGCAGCAAGCTTTGGGGGACCTGGCTTTAGTAGGTGGACTGGATCAGATGACCTCTGGAAATTCTTTCCAACATTAATCCTCCTGTGATTTATGTGATCCATAACCCCAGGGGTCTGACTACTCCTGCCCCCAGTCCTCTGAACCTACCTGAGGTCCATGTCCCTGTGGTCACCCAGCTGGAATTACCTGGTTCTGTAGGGAGAAAGCAGCAGGTGAACACTCAGCATTTTGCCTAAAAGGATCAGTTCGTCTGGGAGTGACCCCACCCCTAAAGGGACACTGAAACACAGAAGCCACAGTCACCACCTGGATCATGGCCAGTCCCTGTGTGGCTGCACCTCCAAACCTTCCCTCTCCATCCCTGCCCAGAGTGCAGCTTGTGTTCTGCATGTGCAAGAGCTCCCATCAGCAGGGCCTCCATCAACTTTCTTGATTGTTAATTGTTGGGTGATGGGACAGAGCAGACTCTCAACAAGTTTGCTCATGACACCAAACTGGGAAGAGTGGTTGGTCAATCAGAGGGTCCTGCTGCCATCCAGAGGGACCTCAACAGGCTGGAGAAATGGTCTGGCAGGAACATCATGCAGGACAATAAGGACAGGTGCCAAGTGCTGCTCCTGGGAAAGAACAACCCCACACACCAACAGGCACTGAGGGCCACCCATCTGGGAGACAACTCTCCAGAATAGGTCTTGGTGAGCACCAAGTTCAGATGGAGCCAGCAATGGGTTAGCAGGGGCTGTTGAGCTGGATGACTTCCAGAGGTCCCTTCCAAACTCAGTCATTCTGTGACTGTGTGACTCTGAGTAAGGTCAAGAGATAACCAGACCCCCAAACCCCTCTACACTTAATGATGCTCAGCGACATAGGGGGAGTCCAGTTGGAACTACTTCATGCTGTAGGGAGAGAACAGCAAGTGAGAGCACAGCATTTTACCCAAGACCAGGAGCCCAGGGCAGGTCATCCCTCCCCAGAGCAAATCCAGGGATACAGGAACACAAACCCCACAGTCAACACTGTCACCTGGTGGGACCCAGCAAGAGCAATCCACAGTCATCCTCTGTGACACTCAGGAGGGAGAGGAGGTGCCAGACTCCACCAGCCCTGCTGCCCCACCTGAGTTCAGTGACACGGGGGGAGTGGAGCTGGAGCTGCTGGTGCTGCAGACAGAGAGCAGCAGTCACACTTGCTCCTCCACACAGCTGCCACAAGGAGTTCACTGCACTGCATCTGAGTGCATCAGCCCTCTTGGGTTTGGGAAAACAAGTGGTTAAGCATGAGCAGGAGCATTGGTCTCTACAGCAATGAGAGTGCCAGGACCAAGTAACTCCTCTGCCTTCAGTATAGGCCCAAAAAACAGAGGATGGCTCAGTGGCAGCACTGGGGGAGGTGGAGAAAGTCCCATCCCTGCCCACCAGGCAAAGAAACAGTGTCTGGCAGCAGCCTCATGGTCGTGCTGTCCAAAAAGACGCCCCTGAGCAACGATGCCCATCAGTTGGCCCATGAGGTCTGGATGCCCACAGGTGTCAGGAGTCATCAGAAGCCCTTTAAGAGAGACTCTCATCTTCTGCCCTGCCAAAAGTGAAGGAGAGCTCAGGTCTTACCTGCAGTGCTGTTGAAGGCAAGAAATGAGGAGTAGTAGGCCAGGAAACCTCTCCTGGTGATGCTGAAGTCACTGCGAAACAGGACGGAGAGCTGGTGCCCGGAGGATGTGAAGACTCGAGAGGTGTTGGTGCAAACAGTGCCCAGGAGCGGCCCCCCGAGGGGCCCGCCGTCGAACACCTCGATGGCATCGTAGGAGCAGTTGCTGCCTTCCAGCCTGGCGGGGACAGGGGGCTGTGTGGGCACCGCAGGCTGTGCCGCCTCCCGGCACGAGCCCTGATCCCCGGCTGGAGCTGCAGGGCCCAGCCACCCCAGCCCATCCCCATCTCGCCCCAGGGCTCGGGCACAGCAGCCAAGGCCCCGCAGTGGGCACGAAGCCGCCCCTGAGCCCACAGCCAGCCCCCCCTGCCCAGGACTCACTCCACATCCGAAAAGCGGAGCTCCACTCTGCGGGTCGGGTCCCACAGCCGAATGTGCCACACGCAGTGGGCGTTGTTGGGGTAGGAGTAGGGGTAGCCCGGGCTCTCGATGGAGCCCCACAGACCCTGCAGTAAGCCACCACAGGAGCCTGTCCCTGTGGAGAGGAGCAGAGACCTCTTGGCATCCCATCGCCTGGAGCCCTCAGAGAAAGGCCCCACCAAGGAGGCTCTGCCACAGCCCCACACAGACCCTCCCTCCTGGGCATGGGCCACCACCCCAAAGCATCATCCTGGTGTCCCCCCAACCAGAGCACAGCTTGTGCTCGGCCTGTGCAGTAACCCCAATCTCTGGGGTTGGCCATCCAACAGGACACCTGGGGCAGGAGATAAGCAGACCCCTTAACCCCTCTGGACCTAAATGTGGTCAATGACACTGAAGGAGATGGAGCTGGAACTATGGGGTGCTGCAGGGAGAACTCAGCAGGTGAATGAGCAGCATTTTGCCTAAGAGTAAAACCCAGCTGGCAGTCAACCCTGTCCTAAAGCCAGGGTCCTTCCAGTGCTGCCCAGAGAGTGGACAAGAGCTCATGGCACAAACTAAAGCACAGAAGGTTCCTTCTGAACATCAGGAGACACTTTTTCAGTGGGAGGGTGACTGAGCACAGGCACAGGTTGCCCACAGAGGTGGTGGACTCTCCATGTTGGATACAGCCAAAAGACTCCTGGACACACTCCTAGGCATCAAGCTTTGGGGGACCTGGCTTTAGTAGGTGGACTGGATCAGATGACCTCTGGAAATTCTTTCCAACATTAATCCTCCTGTGATTTATGTGATCCATAACCCCAGGGGTCGGACTACTCCTGCCCCCAGTCCTCTGAACCTACCTGAGGTCCATGTCCCTGTGGTCACCCAGCTGGAATTACCTGGATCTGGAGGGAGAAAGCAGCAGGTGAACACTCAGCATTTTGCCTAAAAGGATCAGTTCGTCTGGGAGTGACCCCACCCCTAAAGGGACACTGAAACACAGAAGCCACAGTCACCACCTGGATCATGGCCGGTCCCTGTGTGGCTGCACCTCCAAGCCTTCCCTCTCCATCCCACCAGCCCAGAGTGCAGCTTGTGTTCTGCATGTGCAAGAGCTCCCATCAGCAGGGCCTCCATCATCTTTCTTGATTGTTAATTGTTGGGTGATGGGACAGAGCAGACTCTCAACAAGTTTGCTCATGACACCAAACTGGGAAGAGTGGTTGGTCAATCAGAGGGTCCTGCTGCCATCCAGAGGGACCTCAACAGGCTGGAGAAATGGCCTGACAGGAACATCATGCAGGACAATAAGGACAGGTGCCAAGTGCTGCTCCTGGGAAAGAACAACCCCACACACCAACAGGCACTGAGGGCCACCCATCTGGGAGACAACTCTCCAGAATAGGTCTTGGTGAGCACCAAGTTCAGATGGAGCCAGCAATGGGTTAGCAGGGGCTGTTGAGCTGGATGACTTCCAGAGGTCCCTTCCAAACTCAGCCATTCTGTGACTGTGTGACTCTGAGTAAGGTCAAGAGATAACCAGACCCCCAAACCCCTCTACACTTAATGATGCTCAGCGACATAGGGGGAGTCCAGTTGGAACTACTTCATGCTGTAGGGAGAGAACAGCAAGTGAGAGCACAGCATTTTACCCAAGACCAGGAGCCCAGGGCAGGTCATCCCTCCCCAGAGCAAATCCAGGGATACAGGAACACAAACCCCACAGTCAACACTGTCACCTGGTGGGACCCAGCAAGAGCAATCCACAGTCATCCTCTGTGACACTCAGGAGGGAGAGGAGGTGCCAGACTCCTCCAGCCCTGCTGCCCCACCTGAGCTCAGTGACACAGGGGGGAGTGGAGCTGGAGCTGCTGGTGCTGCAGACAGAGAGCAGCAGTCACACTTGCTCCTCCACACAGCTGCCACAAGGAGTTCACTGCACTGCATCTGAGTGCATCAGCCCTCTTGGGTTTGGGAAAACAAGTGGTTAAGCATGAGCAGGAGCATTGGTCTCTACAGCAATGAGAGTGCCAGGACCAAGTAACTCCTCTGCCTTCAGTATAGGCCCAAAAAACAGAGGATGGCTCAGTGGCAGCACTGGGGGAGGTGGAGAAAGCCCCATCCCTGCCCACCAGGCAAAGAAACAGTGTCTGGCAGCAGCCTCATGGTCGTGCTGTCCAAAAAGACGCCCCTGAGCAACGATGCCCATCAGTTGGCCCATGAGGTCTGGATGCCCACAGGTGTCAGGAGCCATCAGAAGCCCTTTAAGAGAGACTCTCATCTTCTGCCCTGCCAAAAGTGAAGGAGAGCTCAGGTCTTACCTGCAGTGCTGTTGAAGGCAAGAAATGAGGAGTAGTAGGCCAGGAAACCTCTCCTGGTGATGCTGAAGTCACTGCGAAACAGGACGGAGAGCTGGTGCCCGGAGGATGTGAAGACTCGAGAGGTGTTGGTGCAAACAGTGCCCAGGAGCGGCCCCCCGAGGGGCCCGCCGTCGAACACCTCGATGGCATCGTAGGAGCAGTTGCTGCCTTCCAGCCTGGTGGGGACAGGGGGCTGTGTGGGCACCGCAGGCTGTGCCGCCTCCCGGCACGAGCCCTGATCCCCGGCTGGAGCTGCAGGGCCCAGCCACCCCAGCCCATCCCCGCCTCGGCCCAGGGCTCGGGCACAGCAGCCAAGGCCCCGCAGTGGGCACGCCCCCTGACCACAGCCAAGCCCCCCTGCCAGGACTCACTTCCACATCCGAAAAAGCGGAGCTTCCACTCTGCGGGCCGGGTCCGCAGCCGAATGTGCCACACGCAGTGGCGTTGTTGGGGTAGGAGTTGGGGGTTAGCCCGGGCTCTCGATGGAGCCCCACAGACCCTGCAGTAAGCCACCACAGGAGCCTGTCCCTGTGGAGAGGAGTAGAGACCTCTTGGCATCCCATCGCCTGGAGCCCTCAGAGAAAGGCCCCACCAAGGAGGCTCTGCCACAGCCCCACACAGACCCTCCCTCCTGGGCATGGGCCACCACCCCAAAGCATCATCCTGGTGTCCCCCCAACCAGAGCACAGCTTGTGCTCGGCCTGTGCAGTAACCCCAATCTCTGGGGTTGGCCATCCAACAGGACACCTGGGGCAGGAGATAAGCAGACCCCTTAACCCCTCTGGACCTAAATGTGGTCAATGACACTGAAGGAGATGGAGCTGGAACTATGGGGTGCTGCAGGGAGAACTCAGCAGGTGAATGAGCAGCATTTTGCCTAAGAGTAAAACCCAGCTGGCAGTCAACCCTGTCCTAAAGCCAGGGTCCTTCCAGTGCTGCCCAGAGAGTGGACAAGAGCTCATGGCACAAACTAAAGCACAGAAGGTTCCTTCTGAACATCAGGAGACACTTTTTCAGTGGGAGGGTGACTGAGCACAGGCACAGGTTGCCCACAGAGGTGGTGGACTCTCCATGTTGGATACAGCCAAAAGACTCCTGGACACACTCCTAGGCATCAAGCTTTGGGGGACCTGGTTTTAGTAGGTGGACTGGATCAGATGACCTCTGGAAATTCTTTCCAACATTAATCCTCCTGTGATTTATGTGATCCATAACCCCAGGGGTCGGACTACTCCTGCCCCCAGTCCTCTGAACCTACCTGAGGTCCATGTCCCTGTGGTCACCCAGCTGGAATTACCTGGTTCTGTAGGGAGAAAGCAGCAGGTGAACACTCAGCATTTTGCCTAAAAGGATCAGTTCGTCTGGGAGTGACCCCACCCCTAAAGGGACACTGAAACACAGAAGCCACAGTCACCACCTGGATCATGGCCAGTCCCTGTGTGGCTGCACCTCCAAACCTTCCCTCTCCATCCCTGCCCAGAGTGCAGCTTGTGTTCTGCATGTGCAAGAGCTCCCATCAGCAGGGCCTCCATCAACTTTCTTGATTGTTAATTGTTGGGTGATGGGACAGAGCAGACTCTCAACAAGTTTGCTCATGACACCAAACTGGGAAGAGTGGTTGGTCAATCAGAGGGTCCTGCTGCCATCCAGAGGGACCTCAACAGGCTGGAGAAATGGTCTGGCAGGAACATCATGCAGGACAATAAGGACAGGTGCCAAGTGCTGCTCCTGGGAAAGAACAACCCCACACACCAACAGGCACTGAGGGCCACCCATCTGGGAGACAACTCTCCAGAATAGGTCTTGGTGAGCACCAAGTTCAGATGGAGCCAGCAATGGGTTAGCAGGGGCTGTTGAGCTGGATGACTTCCAGAGGTCCCTTCCAAACTCAGTCATTCTGTGACTGTGTGACTCTGAGTAAGGTCAAGAGATAACCAGACCCCCAAACCCCTCTACACTTAATGATGCTCAGCGACATAGGGGGAGTCCAGTTGGAACTACTTCATGCTGTAGGGAGAGAACAGCAAGTGAGAGCACAGCATTTTACCCAAGACCAGGAGCCCAGGGCAGGTCATCCCTCCCCAGAGCAAATCCAGGGATACAGGAACACAAACCCCACAGTCAACACTGTCACCTGGTGGGACCCAGCAAGAGCAATCCACAGTCATCCTCTGTGACACTCAGGAGGGAGAGGAGGTGCCAGACTCCTCCAGCCCTGCTGCCCCACCTGAGCTCAGTGACACAGGGGGGAGTGGAGCTGGAGCTGCTGGTGCTGCAGACAGAGAGCAGCAGTCACACTTGCTCCTCCACACAGCTGCCACAAGGAGTTCACTGCACTGCATCTGAGCGCATCAGCCCTCTTGGGTTTGGGAAAACAAGTGGTTAAGCATGAGCAGGAGCATTGGTCTCTGCAGCAATGAGAGTGCCAGGACCGAGTAACTGCTCTGCCTTCAGTATAGGCCCAAAAAACAGAGGATGGCTCAGTGGGAGCACTCGGGGAGGTGGAGAAAGCCCCATCCCTGCCCACCAGGCAAAGAAACAGTGTCTGGCAGCAGCCTCATGGTCGTGCTGTCCAAAAAGACGCCCCTGAGCAACGATGCCCATCAGTTGGCCCATGAGGTCTGGATGCCCACAGGTGTCAGGAGCCATCAGAAGCCCTTTAAGAGAGACTCTCATCTTCTGCCCTGCCAAAAGTGAAGGAGAGCTCAGGTCTTACCTGCAGTGCTGTTGAAGGCAAGAAATGAGGAGTAGTAGGCCAGGAAACCTCTCCTGGTGATGCTGAAGTCACTGCGAAACAGGACGGAGAGCTGGTGCCCGGAGGATGTGAAGACTCGAGAGGTGTTGGTGCAAACAGTGCCCAGGAGCGGCCCCCCGAGGGGCCCGCCGTCGAACACCTCGATGGCATCGTAGGAGCAGTTGCTGCCTTCCAGCCTGGTGGGGACAGGGGGCTGTGTGGGCACCGCAGGCTGTGCCGCCTCCCGGCACGAGCCCTGATCCCCGGCTGGAGCTGCAGGGCCCAGCCACCCCAGCCCATCCCCGCCTCACCCCAGGGCTCGGGCACAGCAGCCAAGGCCCCACAGTGGGCACAAAGCTGCCCCTGAGCCCACAGCCAGCCCCCCCTGGCCAGGACTCACTCCACATCCGAAAAGCGGAGCTCCACTCTGCGGGCCGGGTCCCACAGCCGAATGTGCCACACGCAGTGGGCGTTGTTGGGGTAGGAGTTGGGGTAGCCCGGGCTCTCGATGGAGCCCCACAGACCCTGCAGTAAGCCACCACAGGAGCCTGTCCCTGCGGAGAGGAGCAGAGACCTCTTGGCATCCCATCGCCTGGAGCCCTCAGAGAAAGGCCCCACCAAGGAGGCTCTGCCACAGCCCCACACAGACCCTCCCTCCTGGGCATGGGCCACCACCCCAAAGCATCATCCTGGTGTCCCCCCAACCAGAGCATGGTTTGTGCTCGGCCTGTGCAGAAACCCCAATCTCTGGGGTTGGCCATCCAACAGGACACCTGGGCCAGGAGATAAGCAGACCCCTTAACCCCTCTGGACCTAAATGTGGTCAATGACACTGGGGTACATGGAGCTGGAACTGTGGGGTGCTGCGGGGAGAACTCAGCAGGTGAGTGAGCAGCATTTTGTCCACGAGTAAAACCCAGGTGGCAGTCAGCCCTGTCCTAAAGCCAGGGTCCTTCCAGTGCTGCCCAGAGAGGGGACAAGAGCTCATGGCACAAAGTGAAACACAGAAGGTTCCTTCTGAACATCAGGAAACACTTTTTCACTGGGAGTGTGACTAAGCACAGGCACAGGTTGCCCACAGAGGTGGTGGACTCTCCATCCTAGGAGATAGCCAAAAGCCACCTGATCATGGCCTTGAGCAATCAGCTCCAGGCAACCCTGCTTTAGCCAGGGCTTAGGACCCCATTACTCCAGATGTCCCTTCCAACCTCAACCATCCTGTTATTCTGTGATCCATAACTGAAGGGAGAAGCTAGTCGGACCCCATAACCCCTCTGGACATACCTGTGGTCCATGGCATGGGGGTTGTCACGCTGAAGATAGCTCTCACTGCAGGGAGAGAGCAGCAAGTGAGAGTGCAGTTCTTTGCCTAAGAGGATCATCCTGCTGGGAGACCCCCCTATCCAAGGGGAACCCCAGGACAGTAAAACCTGAAAGCCACAGTGGGCACTGTAATGAGGCAGGACTGAGCAGCTGCAGTGTCATCTGCCCCACCACCTGCTCGAGGGCATCCCCACTGTGGCACCATGAAGACCAGTGCAAAACCTCTTCCCCTGAAGAAGTGGTTGCTCAGTCACAAAGGATCCCAAGCAATCCCACATCATCCTGAGCATCAGGGATGTTACCCTGGGTCTGTAAGTGCAGCCCACATTTGGGTCTTCTGCTCTGATGAACACAGAGCGTCCCAGAGGCAGAACAACCCACGGAAAAGTAGTATATAAATAGAAATCTCTGGTTACCTGCTCGTCGAGGCACTGTTAGTCCTGAGTCTGCAAAGAGAGAAAACCAGAAGGTGTGAGGCACTCAGATTCCTCATCTCCTCTCGGAGTATGTACTATAATCTCATGGAGAGCTATGAAGGGATCCATGGGGAGGATGGCCTGGCTAAAACCCATCATCCTCCTCAGTCTGCACAGGAGCAGTCTGCAAAATCCCAGACATCCTGAGCACAGTCTACAAGTGCAGAAGAGTGCTCCCTCTGAAACACAGGCCCCTGCATCAGGGATGTGGACCTATGACCCTCTGCTGCCCTGCAGAGCACAGAGGAAGGGTTGGACAGGCTTTGCCCAGCCTCACACAAACACCACGTGGGTTTTCTTCAGGAAACTGCCCCCAAAACACAAAAACCCACCTGAGCATATGACAGAAGCATCTCCATGATGACAGACATAGTACTGGTAGCTGTAGGGGCACTGCAACAAATTGTCTTCATACCCTGCACAATTCACCTCCGTGATGAAGTACGGGTATGAGTCGCTCGAAGGGAAATCGTGCATCACTCCAAGGGGTGATCCGCAGCCAAGCTGCCTGCACACAACCTCAGCATCTTCCATGTTCCACAGGTACCCACACACCTTCTCCCAGCTTCCAAGGAACTGGATTTCCACGTTGCCTGCGCAGCGGTTCGGCCCACCACTCAGCCTCAGCCTCGACCTCGGCCACGGCTCTTGGAGAGACACAAACCCCTGTGTCAGGCCAGCAGTGCTCTGGGCTCAGGCAGTGGCATTGGACAGGAGAGCACAGGCTCCCATGTCCTCTCTGGGCACCCATCTGCACCCACAGCACAGCTCAGGGCTGGCAGCCCCTGCTTGGCCTCCCGTGCTGAGGGACAGACAGGTTGGGCCAGCAGCAGGTCCCATCCCCATGCCCTGGGCCACCAGAAGGGCCTTGGCAGACACACTCACCGTCATCTGGAACTGGAACTGTGGAGGAGAACAAGCAGGGAGAAAAACACAAAGAGAGTAAATGAATTAGGACAAATTTTCTGGAAACTGTCAGTGCTCTCTACCCTTTCCCCAGCGAGTCACGTTCCCAGTGAAGGGCACAAGTGATAGATCTTTTTATTTCTAGCAAGGAGGTTGGTTGCTGGAGGGCAGAGCCATCCCTGAGTTCCTGGCTCCCGGATAATTTACTTCTTGCATACATCCCTGGCCCCACCATAGGGCGAGCATGAGCTTTTTCATCATAATAATTTGTTCCCAAGAATAAATACTATGGTAAAAACATAAAGCTATCACTATCATGTGAAGTAATAATCTGGTAAATTCTACTTACAACTCATGGGGTCAGGTGTTGTCAGGGGATGTAGTGCTTCTTCTAGAGAAGAAAAAACATAGATGATACCATATGTGAAGGCCAAAAAGACAAATATGATACGAAACTTCCTCAAACCCTGTTTCAGTCCCCAGGAATTAGTGGCCAACAAATTTTAGATCTAGGAGATTTCTTTTTATTTTAGTAAATCACAGAAGTTTTTCCTTCCATTAACCATCAAATCTCTTTGTGAACCCACCAAAAACCTGCAACTGGCCCAGAGAGTGCCAAATGCCCTTGAAGTCAGACCAGTTTTCTCAGGGTACCCAGCTCCCTGAGCTGGAAGACAGGGATGGGGAGCAGAATGAAGCCCCCAAAATCCAAGAGGTAATTGTCAGAGACACCCACAAATCTATGGGGGTGGATGGGATCCACCCAAGGGACATGGAGGAGCTCAGCCTAGAGAAGAGAAGGCTCAGGAGGGGGACCTTATTTCTCTCTGTAACTACCTGGGAGGAGATTGTAGCCAGGTGGGGGTCAGTCCGTTCTCCGAAGTAACAAGTGATAGGACAAGAGGAAATAGCCTCAAGTTGAGCCAGGGGAGGTTTAGATTGGAGATCAGGGAAAATGTAATCATGGAAAAGGTTGTCAAGCCCTGGAACAGGCTGTCCAGGGCAGCGGTGGGGTCACTGTCCCTGAAGGGATTTAAAAGATATGTAAAAGATGTATAGGTGTAAATGTGTGGGCCATCCTTAGTGGTGGGCTTGGCAGTGCAGGGTTACTGGCTGGACTCCATGATCCAAGAGGTGTTTTCAAACTTAAACAATTCTCTGATTCTCTCTGCTGGTTTCACCTGATCTGATCAGAAGCTGATGGCATGAGAATAGGCTATGAACAACTGCCTCTCCCTCCCTTTTTCCAAACCAAAGAAGGACAAAAATCCTAACAGAAATGAAGGTGACACGAAATATCTGGGGAGATGGTCAGAGCGAGGCCAGTGACAAGGGAGGCTGCATATCCAAAAGCTCCCTGTCACAGGTTCTGCTCACGGTCCCACTGCATCTAAGCTTTTCTCATTCCCTTCCGCTCCCAACAGCACTGATTTCATCAATACCGTGCTGCTGACTGCCGCTGGAGTCAGTAACTCGGTCAAAGAAGGGTTTTCCTTGCTAAGGCTCCTGTACAGCTGATGGAAAGCCTCCAGGTGGCACTAAGAGATCGAGGGCGTCCCGTAGGACAGGGCTCTGACACCCGGGGAAAGGTGATCTCCTTCCTAGTGCTTCTGTGATCAGGTGACAGCACCAAACATATCAAAATTGATAAACATAATCCAAATTAATAAGGGCATTTCATGTGAGTGTTGCTCTGTCTCTGTATAGGTCATTGGAAAATGGTCTGCAAATATGCCTTCAGTCAAAATTTGTCTGTGCAAACTGTGGATAACTTTGCTCTGGGCTTTCAGATACTCAGAAACTGCTGCATTTACACAGGCTCTGTTTTTAACGTGGCATTGTGATCCCAAGGTTTTAGCCCAAGGACTGACTTAATTAAGCTTTTCATTGCAGTGATGGCTCTCATTCCTTCTCTGAGAAGAAGGACACACATTCACTTATATACTGCATTTTAAGTGCATGTGTGTACTACCATATAGATTCTGTATGGGTGCATTCAGACATGGGAGCCCAGTCTGAAGGACACTGAGCCCCTGACTAAGCTGGTGGGTTGGCTGCATTGGCTACAACTAAGCTAGAATAGTTCTCAGATGCAAGCATCAGCCTGGAGATAATATTTAGCAATGCCAATTCTATAAAAAATGTGCACTTTTATATAATTTTAAAATTACCTGTTGTTAGAGGCCTTTCTGGTTCAGCATCTCCTGTTGTCCAAGCTGCAGACAGTGTCAACACAAGCAAAAACAACAACAACAAAAAAAATTGAAGAACATTACATGAATTAAGTAATAAGGACGGGAAGTTTGCACGCACAGGAACCCCTGGTGGCATTGGCAAAGGGATGTCAGATGTTTTTCAAGGGAGTAGGTTAGGTGGTGATAAAAATCCTTCTCTATGGACAACCTGATAGGTGGGAATATGCCCTCACTGGTTAATATCATGTATCATAAAACTTATTGTCTCTCAAACTCACAGTTTATTTATTTGAAGTGATTTCTGGATGCAGAAGAGCCTAACAAGGACATGTGTAATGTTTTCAGTTATTAGGGTACTTTACAATGCATCCCACCACACTGCTCCTCATGCATGCAAGGCTTTAACCCTGAATTAATTAGATGGAAATGAAAGGATTAAAAGGTAACTCAATATTTTCCAGCTGAACATCAACATCCCAGCTTAGTTTTCAGCATTACTAATTGCACCTTAAATATTTTTGGAGGGAGTAAATAACAAGGGCATTAAAAACCTGAGGAAATAGCCTTGAACGGTTATTTCTTTCCACCGTGTATGCGGGAGCACAGAAAGGGAAAGCAGGTTTTTGTTTTTGGTTCATTAGTCCAAGCCAAGTTCATTCCAGAATTTTACACCTGGAAGAGGAAGGGATGGAAAGACAGCAGCTGTGCCAACACCTTTGATGTTTTTCCATTCTACCCTCCTGCATAAAGAATGCAACAGCAGCTGCTTAAAAAGAAATGCCTTGTCTCTCCCAGCACCATGCTGGCACTCTGCTCAGCCAGGGAAGCCTCACCTGAAAAATGGGAAAATGTTTTTTGAACACAGAAAGACTATTTTAGCCTGTTGGAAACATCCTCCCTACCATCAGACCCCCCAATGCCTCTGTAAGCAAATCAAATTACACTTGTAAGAGGAATTAGCCTGTGGGAAATTAGAATTTTAAAAAAAAATTACAGTAATTCCTATTATATTCTAGTAACTACAACAGTGATAGCATAGGGACATGTGCCATACTTCTTTTATCTGGAGCACTCTGTTATTAAACACCAATGTGTTGGTCATACCAATATATCTAATCAAATACCAATTCCGTGGTTCAAAGTGCACCTCTTTAAAATAAACATATCTTTAGTCCAGAAAATACTTATTAGTCTTTAAATCCATTACCCCAGTATAAAGAACTGGAAATTTATATCACTGGCTTTACAGTATATTCATTTGATTTTATTTTACTGGGTTCTTTACAAAAATGGTGAGAAAAAAAATAAATTTATTAAGCAGTTTCCATAAAATTGATTTGCTCAGCTCATAGCTTTTACCTGCTCATGGTTTTCAAAAGAACTAAGCTGTGCTGGTAAATCCTCTTTTACCCTTAAATCTCAGCATTACCCTGAGGTGAAATATAGCCACGGAGGTGATCAGAATTGAGACTTGTTACCTGCATCCAGCTGAATTTGAAGACTTATCATCACCATCCAAGACAAGATCATGGTGGCAGCCATCTCCTTGGAGCTCCTGGTCCAGGAGGGCACCAGAATTTATAGGCAGGGACTACACTAAAGGGTGTAGCTCAGCAGCCCAACCTCTCGCTTCAGTAGGTCAACACCACATTCTCCACTGCTCTCACTTCCCTAACTTCCATGTTTGATTTGTTAACTAAGATTTATAGCTTCCTGGTTCTGCAAGAAGACATCACCTGACATCTGATTCAGGGGCAGCAGAGATCAAAAGTGGTTGCAGTAGCTGGTGTTTTTCCCTCCCATCCCTCTCTGGCTGTGAAGTTCAGTTGTGGTCAGTTATGTAACACATCCCTTTCTTGCTCTTAGGTTTGGGTTGAATCTGAGCCAAAGCTGCTTTTTAAGGCGGTGTAGCAGAGCTTTCCTTTTTGGGACTGCACATGTGGAAGGGTAAGAACGTGGTGGGAAACAACTGAGGGGCTTATGGAAACCTTTCGTACTGGCCTGGGCTCTGGTACACCCACCCACTGCTGGGAGGGCATCAGACAGAGGCAACCATCATGTCTTCAGTCCCTTAACGTTGTTGTGAAGGTGCAGTTTCAGGGACTGAGTCAAATCATTAAGGTTGGACATGGCCTCCAAGGTCATTGAGTCCAACTGTCAACACTGACACCGTATCCCCCAAGTGCCACACCCACATGATTTTTGAGCACTTCCAGGGATGGTGATTCCACCAGTTCTCTGGGCATCCTGTTCCAATGCTTGACAACCCTTTTGTGAAGGAATTTTTCCTAGTATCCAACCTAAACATCCCCTGGCACAATCTCAGACCATTCCCTCTTGTCCTTTTATCACACCTAACTTACCATCATGAATTTCTCAAATATTAGTTACTTACCAACTTTCTAGAGGTAGAAGAATTTGGAACTAGAATGC